CGCACCGCACCGCACCGCACCGCACCGCCGCGCCCATCAGCCCATTTTTGGCGAGAGCGCAGAGAGAGTGTTGTTCCGCAAAAAATTCAGACGCGCCACCGGGCCCGTGGGTGTAGAAGCAGAGTGAATCGAAGCAGAGTGGCCGGGGTGGAGGAACATGGCGATCCGGCGTTTGAAAAGCCCCGCCTCGGCCAGCCCTGCATCCGCGTCATACGATTTCACACGCCCCTCATCCCTGCACACGCGACTCTAACATGTCGCCACTCTTTTTCTTCACACCCCATCTCCCGCCTGCAAAGTCAGCTTGGCAATGGCCTAGAAGCGCTGCGTGCCTTCGAACCGTCGAAAGATGTCCTCGCTGGCAGCGGACATTTCGGTGGCCATACGATGCACCTCGGTGCCCGGCCGGTTGTACAGCAGACTGTTGGCGAACATGAGGTTGAGCGCCTTGCGCAGCTGTTTGGGCGTGCCGATCGAGCCCTCCTTGATGCGCGCCTTGATCGTCTTGATGTCCAGCGGCTGCTTGATGAGCGTATAGTAGTCCGGTGCATCTTGCTCCTTGATGGGCGCGTGGAAGAGGTTGCCGTGCGTGTGGTTCGACACCTCCGTCAGCAGCATACTCAGCACCTGCGCCTGCTTGCGCTTCGCCGCCTTGCTGCGCTCGCTCACCTGCGAGGGGGGTGTCGACGTGCGCGTCGATTCGCTCTTGACTGCCGCGGTGCGAGAGGCGCTGGTGGAGCGTGCATCCGCACTGGCAGCCTCGGATTCGCCCACCTTGGCAGGACTGCGTTTGCGACTCGAAGGTACGGATTGCACTTGGTCCTCGGCTTCCTCTTCGTCCGAAGACGTTCCCGCCGTGCCATCCTCCATCGCCGCATCACCCTCCGCATCCGTCTTGACCGCTTCACCAGCTTCGCCGGGATGGTCCGCGCTTGGCTGAGTCGATGCCGCCTCGCTCTCGACGCCGATCGCAGCAGCCGCCTCGTCCTCGCTGTCCATCTCGCCGTCGGACGACGCCACGACCGCATCCGCCGTTCGCGCCTTCTTCACTGGCGAGCCGCCGTCCGATGGCGCTACTGCAGCTGTCTCGCGCTTGTCCGCCTTGGTCTCCTCTGCCGCTGCAGATGCCTCGTCGTCGCCGCTGCTGCGCTTTCGCTTGTTCGACACTGCCTCGGCGACTGCCCCGGCCGACTCGACGCGCGCCTCTGCTGTCTTTCCCTGCGCTGCTGTCTTTCCCTCCGCAGCCGCCGTCGGCCCGGCAGGAGCTGCATCGCTCTGCACAGCCCGTGCCGGCTCCTTCTCCTTGACCACTACATCTGCTGCAGGCGCGACCGGCGCAGCGTCTTTGCTGGGCGCCTCCTTCGCCGCAGCTGGTGGCACTGCCGCCGGTGCAGATTCGCCTGCCTTGGACGAGGCGGCACCGCTCTGCTCGGCTGTGCTGCTGCCTTCCGCCTGCGCCGCCAGCTCGAGATTCGTCGAGGTCTCGACTACCTTTTCCGCCGCCTGCTCCACCTGCGCCTCGAGCGCCTCGCTCGCCGCCTTGTCGTCCTGCAGCGCCTGCACCGCCGCCTGCGTGGCTGCCGATGCTACCGCCTGCTCCGCCTCGGCCGTCGTCATTCCCGATGCAGCCGCACCTTCCGCTGGCGCAGCAACAGCAGCGCTGTCACCTACTGCCGAGGTTTGCGCTGGTGCCGCTGGTGCCGCTGGTGCCGCCGTCGCTGCCTCCACTGCTGCTGCTCTTGCGGGGGTGCCTGTTGAGGTGGAGGCTACTGCTTCTGACGCCGCGGCCTTGTTCGCCGAGATGGGCGGCGGAAGCGTGATCGAAGGCGTACTAGGCAACGCCGGTGTGGGTCCTGGTATCAATTTGGTCGGCGAGCTCGGTTCGAGTGCGCTCGGCTTGGCCTCCTGCTTCTTGGATGCACTGTTGGGTGCCGAGCCCAGCTCCGAGCGCGGCGAGCCCTTGGAGAGGTCGCCCGGCTGGGTTGCCGAGCTCTCTGCGCGTGTGCGGCCCTTTTTGGCGCTCTTTGGCGTGGTGGATGCATTGGATGCGGGCGTGGTAGGTGCGGCTACGGATGGCGCCGCGCTTGGCGGTGCGGACGACGGCAGCGGTGGTCCGTTGGCGAGGTTCTCCATCTCGATGCGCAGCTCCATCTCGAGCCTCGCATCCGCCTTGCCCGACTTGATCTCGTCGATCTCCTTGACGAGGCTCTTGAACTGCTCCTCCTTTTCGCGGATCTGCTCCTTGAGCTCTTCCATGCGCTCGGCGTACAGCAGCTGTGCCAGCGCGAGCTGCGAGCGCCGGTCGGTGCGCGGCTGCAGCCCGCGCGGCTCCTTGGGTTTGGGCGTGCTGGGTGTCGTCGGTGTGGGTGGTTCTGGTGCCGCTTCGTCCTTGCTCAGCACGAGGCCGCGCTGACGCATGAGCGCCGTCCATGCGCGTTCGCACTCGCGCGTGCCAAAGATGCGCCCGAGAGTGAGGCCGGCATGCGCCGCCTGCTCGAGACGCGACTGTTGGCGGATGAGCGGATGCGCGAGCAGCAGCGACGACACGCGTCCCCAGTCGGGCGGCGAGGTGCCCACCTCGTGCACCGCCTGTGCGAGCAGCAGCTTGTCGCGCAACGACAGCTTGGCCAGCGCCGACGGCTGCAGTGCGTGTGGCGATGGGATCGTCGGGTTCATGCTGGATGATCTGTGCAGGCGTGCAGATCCACACTCCTTCGGGCCCCAAGTGCTGGATGGATGGATGTGTCGATTGCCGAGCGAGGTGGTGGATGCTTGGAAAGCAACCAATGCTCGAGCGCTCCATCGGATTCTGGAATTCACCCAAATGGACCGAGCAACCGACGCGCTGCATCTGCGCCCGATTCTTCAGATCATCCCGATGCACAAACGGGGTCGCGTGGGAACAGTCTCAGAGTCTCCGCCTCCGCAAAGGCGGACAGGCGAGAAGGAAATGCAGAGCAGAGCGCAGGTCTTCCGACAGCCGACCGAGACAATCGCCGCCGCCGCTTCTCTGCCAGAGAGCCCAGGCGAGGCCATGCGAGGCGAGGACGGCTAGGCTCGGCGGTGCCTGTTGCAGAGCCAACCTTGGCGCGGCGGCTCTTGCTTCCCATTCACCTCGTCATTCTCCATTCTCCTACCCATCCATGACGGAGCCGATCAACAAGGCAGCAGCCTCGGCCTCGGGCTCGGGCTCGGCATCGGCAGCCGGGCCGTCGGCGCCCGCTTCCGCCCCCGCACCGTCCGCCGAGATCTACGAGCAGAAAGACGAGGCCTACTTTGGCTACTACTCGATGCTCTCGCACCAGGCGCAGATGCTGCAGGACACGGTGCGCACCGCAGCGTACCAGCGAGCCATCTTGAACAATGCGCGCGACTTTCAGGACAAGGTGGTGATGGACGTCGGCGCGGGCAATGGCATCCTCAGCTTCTTCTCGGCGCAAGCAGGCGCCAAGAAGGTGTACGCCATCGAGGCGTCCAACATGGTCGAGTGTCTGCGTCACGTCGTCAATGCATCCGAGCGCAACTCGAACTCCAAAGCGGCGGGATCGAGCGAGGCAGAAGAGGTGCGCAACGAGGCAGAGATCCTCGAGCTCATGGGTGCTTCCGACGCCAGTGCAGCGCCAGCAGCGGCTGGGCTGTTTGGAACCACCAATCCGGCCGAGTCGCGCAATGCGTGGTTGCAGGGAAGGCTGGTACCTGTGCACAGCAAGGTGGAAGATGTGACGTCCGAGCATCTGCAGGGCCACACGCAGGTGGATACGATCGTGAGCGAGTGTCTGGGCGTGCTGCTCGTGCACGAGCGCATGTGCGAGTCGTTCCTCGACGCGCGCGACCGATTCCTCGCTCCCGGCGGCTCCGTCTTCCCCTCGGCAGGCACCATCTGCCTGGCGCCGTTCGAGGACAAGCAGCTGTGGAACGACACGGCCAACAAGGCCAAGTGGTGGCTCAACAACAACTTTTACGGCGTCGACGTTTCGCCGTTCGCCAAGCTGGCGTTCGAGGAGAACTTCTCCAGCCCTGTCGTGGGTGTGTTTGCACCCCAGTGCCTGCTGAGTGTGTCGAGCGACTATGTGATCGACTTTGCCACCATCACCAAGCAGCATCTGCAGGAATTCACCGTGCCTGTCGAATGGACGTTTGCACACGCCGCCATCGTGCACGGTCTGGGCGGCTGGTTCGATCTCCACTTCAACTCGCAATCCACCCCGAACGAGGACGCCACCATGAACGATGCCAGCACCGGCGGCGCAATGTCGGTCGAAGCTGCGCTGGATACGCTCAAGGCCGCATCGGCCGCATCGGCCGCATCGGGTACGGCGATGGATGCGGTTCTCAACACGCTCCCCACCGTCGATACTGCCAACACGGGCAACTTTATGACCACCAGCCCGTATGCAGACGCAACCCATTGGCAACAGGTAAGGTTCCTGCTGCAGGAACCACTCGCCGTCAACCGTGGCCAGAAGCTGGGCGGAAGCGTGCACTGCAAAGTCAACGATCAGAGATCCTACACCATGACTGCACAGTTGAGGCTGCAGAATCCAGATGGCACTGCGTCCGATAGCAGCATCACCACCCGAAAAGCCGTGTGGAGACTAGACAGACAGACGTACTCGTGGTGAACTCCATCCGGCGCGCATTGCGGATGCAGAGATGCAGAATAGAAGGTCGCTTATCATGGCATGCGCGAGGGTGTGTGTGTGTGTGTGTGTGTGTGT